AAACTCTTATGGAACAATATTTACATCAATGGATCTTCCATTATTCCCATAATAGCATTTATTTACTATACTTTAGCTTAACCGCATAGCAACTAATTTACTTCATATAAATTATCCACTTTAGAATAGAGAAGATCCTCTAATATTATTTGATTGCACATTCAGTTTTCTGAACATAATTCTTATCTTTTCAATCTAGGGTACAACCATTATCAATCCGATCATATTTTTTTCCCATCAAAATTTTTCCTCAACGGTATCTTACTCAACTTTTCAAACTCATACTCTTACTCACACACAGTACTAGTCCTCTGTTTCAAAATCATACATTATAACTTTATTTGTCTTATAAACTAATCACTGATGTATCCATTCTTAAACTTTTCTTATCAATCTTTAGCTTTACTCAACCATACGAATTCTCACTTCATTCACTATATCACATTATTATGATCAAAATATACAACTGTATTCGAATCCACTTCATAATTGGTTATCTTAACCTGACAATATCTTAGAGTCTTATACTTCCAATACATTTTTTTATCTCTTAATCTCGTTAGCCAACGCTAACTTTTTCCTTCTAGAGTATAAGATCTCATTATATCCATACTCTTGCTTATACACAATACTATCTACACGTCTATTATTCCTTTTCACATATCACCTCTTCAACAAATCTTTCGTGCTATCATAAACTTCACTTCATTACTTTAATTCTTTCATTTCCTTTTTCCCTTATCTTTTTACATCTTTATCATTTATACTTATCCTTCTTCATCCTTTTAACTTTAATACACTCACTATCACACTACTTTATTATTCAACTTATTTCTTTCAATCAAAACGTAAACTTTCATCAAATTATCCATATATATATTCTTTCCAATCAAAATAATTCATCATCTATTTCCTTCACTTATCAAACCTTCATTCTCACTCATCCATAATACAATTCATTTGGTTCGAATTCAACCATTCCATTTACCTTTGTCTTATACATAACTAAATCATATCATGTACTTCATATTGCCATGCTCTTTTATATCACACATATTTATCCTTAACTATCACTCCTTATCACATTTTCATGACTTTGATAGTCATCTTTACTTGCGCAAAACCTTATTCTTTATCATTCTTATACTTATGTTTTCTCCACTTGTTTCAACAATCACCAGATTTCAATACTCATCTAATCTATTTAAAATACTTTTTCTGCTTTAATTTTCATAACTTCTTATAGAGCTTTTAACCCAATTCACAAAGGTTGTCTTTAACCGTGACTTATTATCAATTAACTCATTATTTAATCTTTAAATATCAAACCCTACTTCTTTAGTCTGTTTGACTCTCATCTGATTTGATTCTTTGGCGAAGAATACAACTAATTCATATCTGGTTTAAAGTTAAAAACATAATCTCTACCCCTCTTTGAGGGTGCATAATTCTATGAATCACTAATTCTCTTAATCATCTGAGATTTTTATTCTCCAATCCTTGTATTCAAAGCTCTCTCTTTAGAGCTTTAGCGTGATTAGTCATTTCTTGAAATGAGAGCAAATTCAAAACCAGTAACACTCTTTTAATTTAAGGCGCAAGCCCTAACCAATCAATCACATGTATCCTTCTTATCCTTCTTAATCTGAATCAACTCTACAATAAATCTGCTTAACTTATTAAAATTATACTCATACATATGCATGTGTAATTCCCTTATTTCAAGCTCATATATTCGAGCTTCATTTGTCTTATGAATTGGTCTTCCATGTACTTATTATTGAACTCTTCTACAAATAATAACCGCATCACTTGATCTTTTAACATTCTTGTGGTGACATTTTTCCACCGTATTCTAACTTGTCCAAGTAGTAACGAAACTACTCAATTTAACTTCTCCACTTTAGAGAAATGAAAACATTCTAACATTTTCTTCATGTCATTTATCCCAAAGGTCTGTAACAACAGAACCTTCCTCAAATTCACCCTTGAACTCGGGTGCTCTTACTCTTTTAAATTTTTAAATACATTCATTCTACGAGTTAAAGAAATATAAAATTGAAAACACATCAGAATATCATTCAACATCATGAAACATTTTCTAATCTTATACAGGTACTCCCTGAGGTTTTCGCTCTTCTCCCTGCCTGGCCATGGCAGGTGAATGTTATTACCTTCAGTCTATTGCCTTGTGCTTCACTTTGAAAACTCTTAAGATCATACATCTAATATAACATAACACTTTAACTCTATTATCAAGACAATATACTCCTTACACTATCAGATCAGAAAATTTTTCACTTTGTGTTGGTATGTATACATTTTAAAACACTCTTGACTTCGTTTTTAGCCTAGAATCGGCTAAACCGTAGCTCTGATACCATTAAATGTAACACCCCAACCCGTATATGACCTGGATACGAGTCTGAGATGTCACATTGACATTTCAAAACCTTTATTCTTGCAAAATAATAGAACATCTGAACTTATATTAAGAAAATACGATCATATATTGTTGAATTGTATTTGTTATAAAATTTTGAGGCAAAAACATATTTTTTAACAGTAAAATACGGTATGAACAGTACCATGAACAATAATGAACAATGCTATGAACAGTGCTACAATGATTTTCATAAAATGTTCACAAAACTCGTAAAAATTTAACCGTTCCTTACTATGCATTTATATTTACATATACATATATACGTTTAAAACATTCCAAAATTCAATCAGAGCGTATCCAATAAGCACCATTTTTATTACATGCCAACTAAAATTCTATTTAACAAAATACATATAATTCGATCTATATTTCTGATCCCGAATGACCACGTAGATGTCCCGAAGGACCACTATGTCCCGAATGAACGCGTAGACCCTCGACTCTTGGCATGCCAACTATACCCTAGCTCTCATGACACATAACATGGGCATCATCATTTATGTCATTTCATATTTTCATATAAACACGTAGTTCACTTTCACATAGACCGTAGATTATGTCACATAAGTTGAATCACATGTACGTATCAACACGTAGATCACTTTCACATATCACGTAGCACATATCCACTTTTCATACTATTTCACATTTCTTGTCATATTGCTTATATCTTATTTTTATGTCCTATCATATATATATATATATATCATCTTTCCTATACTTGTATTCACATCATTTATATTCTCCTAGATCATATCATCTCTGTCATACTCATAAACATATAACTCAGACACTCATAACAAAAACATGTTCATGTTCATACTTCATGCACAATACTACAAAAAATAGACTTGTCTCAAGTCTTATTTCCCATTAAACATCATATATAAAATAATGCACACTCACCTTGGCCTCACTAAGTTCCAATCCAGTTTTATAATTTCCTCTCTTGCGATCGAATCATAACTTGATAATCGTTTTGGGACTTGTTCATGCTCGATATCTATATAATCATTCATTGATACATATTAGTATCCAATTGATATACACTAATCTATCATTTCTTAGACCAAAAGAAATGTCTATTTCAATTTCCCCTTGAAGTGCATCGATGAATTCTACAGTGCATCGATGAATTCTTTAACATGTGCATCGATGCACTACCTATGCATCGATACACAAATTACCTTCGATGTTTTCATTTCAAAGGGATGCATCGATGCACTAATTGCATTCGATGTTTCTTCTTTAAAGAGTGCATCGATGCACATTGAATGTGCGTCGATACACCTTGCCTAGAATTTGCATTTTAAGCCCGGAAATCCAATTAATTCAACTTAAATGCTTCATATTTCATCCCTTTTCAAATTCCTCACTTATATATGCATGTTTAAACTCATTTATATTCATTTACCTCTTCTTGAACCTTAATATATTCTCCTCTTTGTTAACTTCAAGAATCATACTAGATTTTCAACATGTTTTAAAACTCATTTTATCACTTCATATCTCTTAATTTAACCCTTGACAAGTCAAATTCAACTTCAAAAATCTATTAACTCTCGTTATTTCACTAATTCACTTAAAAACTCTTCATATTTGATCATTCATAACTAATCCATTTTGAAGTTTCAACATACTTTAATCTCTAAATAATATTTCTTAGCACCCTAAGAATCAAAACTAAGCTTGAAACTTAAGAATTAACCAACTGTAATTAAGCTTACCTTTGCTTGAGCTCTCACGTGGAGGATGAAGAAGAAGGGAGAAGAGTTTTCCAGATAACTCTCCCCACAAACTTATCTCTTAATAAAGAGATAAGATAACTATCGTTAGATAACAAAGACCATTTTGCCCTTAATCTCCTTTAATAATTACTAATAACTTTTAGAAAATATCTCCACACAAATCATTGAACTATTCAACTTTTCTACTTTTATCCCCAAATTCCTAAATTTTTCAATTTAGTCACTAACTCGGTATTGAGAATGTTACAATTATGCTTCTACATTCTTCAGTTCTCTTGTCTGGGATATTATATCCTTAGTTTTAGAGAGGGCGGTTATTATTAGATTGATTCCTAGGGGATGCAATTGGGAGGCTGATAAATTAGCTAAAGAGGGGATCGGTTGATTGTAAGGGTATTTTTCTAGGGAGCTTTAATGGTATTTGTTTAATCTGCTGCCCTAGGTGTATTGGTGTACTTTAATGTAACTGTTCTCTATATAATAAATTTAGGCACTCTTTTCCTCCTTCCGCTAGTTGCTCTTTTATAGAGCCAACTAAGAGGGAGGTTTTTAATGAGGCCTCCTATTCCTATAAAAAAATAGTTCATTTATTATACTATGACTGACTGAAATATTTGGTCTATATTACTTTTTCTATATATGGAGATTCAGGCAACTAAAATTTCTAAATATACATAAGTTGAAAGAAATTGAAGGTTTATATGCTTCTGTTGGTACTGGTTACAGGAATATTGAGAAAACATTTTGGTGGCATCTGTTCTTCTTCCTTCGTGTTTCACTGTCCAACTCGTTTTAACACATATACAATGAAGTCCAACTCATGTTTAGGTTAAATTATAATTGCTTAGTATTGGGTTAACGAGTTTTACTATATTTGTGCTCCATCTGTATATATTGCCTTGCATATGTTATTAAGATTTACTTTCTGCTTTCCTTTCTTGTTTCTTACCTAGAGTGTATCCATTGATTTTGTTCTGCCATGCATGTGTCTTTTGGTTGACATACGACTTCCCTCCAGAAGTTAGGGAGAAAATGAAACGTCAGTGGGGATCAGACTGGAAAGGTCAAGCTCAAAAGTGGTGAGTGCTTGGATCAACCTTAGTTCTATCGCTAGCTTTTCTAGTTTATTCTTTTAATGTGTGCGCATCGGTTCGAGATGTGGCATGTCGTATTATGATTTTCTGTTATATTTTGTTTCCCTATTTGTTTTATTTTCCATGATATATGGATCTGTCTTTAAATTTACCATTAACAAATAGGTTTCTCCTCAAATTCACCGGGAAAGAAGAAGAAATCAATCTTTTGGGTGACAGGATAGAGAAACCCGAGTTTGGTGAATGGTCATGGATGACACCAGAGCAAATAGTTGAGCTTGTGAGTACTCCACTACTCCTTACTTGTACCATTTTTGAATTAGTTAGAGGTATATAGTATGGTTCATGTTTATTTCTCATTTTTTGTTTCAGGCAATGGATTTCAAGAAACCTGTTTACAAGAAAGCTTTGGAAGCTTTCACTCCCTACCTTCATTAATATGAACATCACCATTTCTAATGTTGACAGTCTTCAATATCAGTGGCTGAGCATGATGGGATTGATTGTTACTATCTAAAATAAATGCTCTAGAATTTTGGATGTCGAACCTTTTTTAATAGTCAGGGTAAAGCCTTCCTCCATTAGTTTTCCATTCATTACCATTCAATTACCATTAATCATCATTCATAAATATTTTTTTGATAAGAATAGGAGACCTCATTAAAAAAAACCCTTCATGATTAATGGAGCTCATAGACAGCTCCTTAATCAGTGGAAGGAGGAAAAGAGTGCCTTAGAAGTATATTAGAATCATGAAAAGTACATAGGAGTTACAACAACCTACAAGTCCCTTAGAAGGAAAAATAAAAACATAAAAAACAACCCTAGTCAACAACTCAAAAATCAACCTATACCAGCCTTAGCTAGGGCATCTGCCTCTAGGTTAGCTGTCCTATTGACCCATCTAATAACACCTTCAAAAACATTAAGCCTATCAACAATATCTTTAACAAAAGCAACGTAAACGTCTGGGCATAATTCAACTTTCTTAATCCAGTCCACTGCCACCTTGTTGTCACTCTCAATAATCAAACTATCCTTGATCAGATCTCGAAAGGTGTTAAAAAACGATAAGCCCTTTTGAATAACTTTTAATTCCATCAAGGTAGGAGGCCCCGAACCATCATACTCTTTAAAAGAGCCTAAAATTGAACCCGAAACATCTTTTAAAACTCCTCCTAACCCACTTCTTTTCCAGACACTAATAGTAGCAGCATCAACATTTAATTTAATAAAGCCCTTAGGTCATCATTCATAAATATGATTTACACATTTATAATGATGATGGATAATATGGAAAAAGTAGTAATGGAATGGATCCCAACTTCAATGGTTAACATTTATGATGATGATTTACATATTTACATATTTTCCTAGTCAGATGTTGTTGTCCTTGTCATCAATTGGTTGCGGGGATCGCGTGGGGTTGTGATTTATAGCATTGGGGCTTGTCGGGTTATACACGTCGATTGAATTATGTTTCGATGGCTTTTCATGGGGTTATCGGTTGTCGGGTGGAAGTTCATCAACGATAAAGGGTGGTGGTCGGTGCAGGTTTCGGGTTGAAATTAGAGTTTTTAAAGTTTTTTTTCTTTGAAATGTTTGGTTTTTTAAAATATAATAATATTTTTTATTTTAAATAATTTTTTTTAAAATTATCAGAACGTGACATATGTCCTTTAACAGGTTGTTACATTAGATACGGAGGCACCTAAAGTGATAATATTTGTAACATTAGACACCGAGATGAATCGAAAAAAGTTTGAACACCTAGTTGGAAAAAAACAATATAGTTTGGACACTTATTTTTCCAATTAATACCTTTTTCATATACATGTATATAGTCTCTGAATTTCTTTATCCCATGTATTTAGAGTCTTTGAAAGTTCCTTTTAAAGTTTTCATATCCATGTATGCTTCAAAAAGATAAGAGTTAGAACGATTTGGGTCCATCATGTAATCTTCTAGAAGTAAAATTCAATAGGTATGTGAAGTTATGTAATTTCCAAATAGATCCTAGTGGGAACAGTGAAGAAGAAACACATTTATTTTCCACCTCTCCCGGATGAAAGATCATTTAAATACTAATTATAATAAAAAGGCTTAATACAAAAATAAGTGTTTGAACTTTGCCTAAAACAATGTTTTAGTGTCTAAAGAATTTTTTGTTAAAAATAGATGCCTAATGTTTCTAAAGTTATACATGTAGATGTCCGTCGTTAAAAATCATTGTTAATTAACCGTTAGGTGACACGTGTTACGTTCTGGTAATTTTAAGAATTTATTTAAAAATAAAAAAAAATTGTAAAAAAAAGGGAACAGTGGCCCACGGGTGCTCCCTCTCCCCTTTCCCCTTCCCTCCCTCTGCAATAGGTCGCAGGTCAGGCGGTGGTGACCATCACCGCCACTATCATCAGCATTGGCGTCAACCTCTGATCAAATCTCCGGTGAACTTTCGCCGTAAGCTGTCGCCGTTTATCGTAGAGAAGCGTTTGAAGTTTCGTTGGATTTTAAGCCACTGTCGCTATTTTTTGCCTATTCCAGCCGATCTTAACATCCATATGCCACCTTATCACCACCATTCGAACCACCGTCCAATTCCGCTCAAAACCTATTCTCGCCGTCGCTCCATCGGTGCTCCTCTGGTGTTCTATCATGGTAATGGGGTTGAAATGAGATATTTTAGTTTTTTTGAGTTTTTTATAATTTCATTAAAAGTTTAAGGGCTCTTTTATAAATAAATTAAGTCTTTTGTAAATAAATTAAGTTTTTTTAATTCTCTTATATTTCATTAATGTCTTTGTAGTATTTTCCATGACTTCTACTTTTTATACGTTTCTGTTATTGGTATTTATGAAGGATTAGAACTGGGCTTGCTATCGTTGACTTCTGTGTATCATTCTCCTCATGTTTCCTCTTTTAAATTTAGCCGAGTCTTATGTTTCTGTCTATATGCAGAGATTCTTTCGCAGGGATTATTATGCAGGGATTAATTCCTGTTACAGACGCATATATGATTTTAATGACTGCATATGAATACTATTTTAGCTATGTATTTATGTATTTATTTATATATGCATTGAATTTTATCTATATTTTTAATTTTCTGACTGCCGGAGGTCTTCCACGGAAGCTACTCTCAACCTGGCTTTGGGGGCAGCCTACTACCCTACCTCCCCCTTACCCCATACATATGGGAATTGAGTTTTGTTGTTGTTGTTGTATATTTCATTAAAAATAATATTTTTATTATAAAAGTAAAAAATAAAACGATTGACACCTAAAAGTGTAACTGAAAAAACTTTAAACATCAAATTTTAGCTAAAAAATCTTTAGACACCAAATTATTTTTCAATGTACATTTACTTATTTTTATATTAAGCCTAATAAAAATTGTTTTTTTAGTTTGGTGGCTTTAATGATTAAATTTTTAATCTAACATAAAATCAATTTTAATGGCTTTTTATTGGTCATAAGACTACCGAGCAACCGAATTGAATTTTATTTTAATAACCTGACGCAGCACAAACTAACGCGATGAGAACTCTATAAGGGGAAATATATTCTATGATAATAAAGTTATTGGTAAACACTCTAAGCTCATCAAACTATCGGAGGCGTTTTGTTTAGGTCACCAAATTAAAATTCTTATAATTTAATCACTACCACACGTACAAATTTATGCTTAAAATGCTTCTTGAAGATAAGTGGGGGGGGGGGACTTAAAAAATCAGATGTTCCTCCCACTTACCTAACCCTAAAACGAATAGCCCAAACAAGGACTAAATCAATCGCTCCCAGCATATAATAGAGAGCTGAAAGTGAAATGTTTCACATCTCGGCAGATAAAACTGAATTAAATAGGTAATTAAAGCTTAAGTTTACTATTTTATTACCCACACAAAAACATTATAACTGTTTATAGTATGTCGCATGTTGCAAGAACATTTCTTAAACATGCACAGAAGAGATTACTCTTCTGATTATATTATTGGATAATGAACAAAGCATGCAAGCACCTCTTCCACCATACTACATTTGCCTTGCAGCTACTACATCTTTGACCTTGAAAAGCTCAAGCTAGCTTCGATCGATCCGTGGGGTTCATCCGTCGGAAGATAAACATCTTCATTGAACTGCACAACATAATGAGATGATCGTAAAATGTCACTACCAAACACTAAGTAAAAACACAAAAATTATGAATCCCCTACTTTTTCATTGAAATCACTCTCTAAATTAAGAGATTCGAACTAGTGGAAGAAATAGAAGCAAATCGAGTCGTACACAGACGGGTCAAATAAATGAGCTTTGGGAGTATGCGAATAAAATATAATGTCCAAACTGAAACTTTAGAACACTGGTGAATGCAAAAGCAGCAAGTGGACAACAAAAGTAGGGAAACTAAACAGGGCTATGAATGTCAGAGAAATCTTCCACACCATTTGAACTTTCTAGCTGACTGAAATAATTTTTATCAATTTTTTCACAGCCTATTCGGACAACAAGTTTACTTGCATTCCAATAACTATCATCTGGAAGATATCAAATGAAGAAGGGTCATACCTTTACCATGTTGCAGTTATCCTTGCTTGATATATTCACAGGTAAGAAATGGATGTTTGGCATTTCAGTTGAACTACTGATATGTCGGTGAACCTTAAAACATTAAACAAAGATGAAAAATACAAATTACTGTTGTTCAGTGGTCTAATATTAGAGAGTTGAGGGTTCACACGTGATGATGGATGCGAGAGAGTAGAGAGTTGCGGGTTCATACGTGATGATGGATGAGAGAGATAGAGAGAGAGAGAGAACCTGCTAAGTACGGCCTTTTCCATCTGGAGAAGAGTGCTTTGAACAGATGCGCTATATACACCACCTACTGGAGGACCAAAGAAAGTATCAACCAGAACCTTTTTCACATTAAAATACTGGTCATTGAAGTAAAGCAGCTCTTGAGGGATGCTAGAGACAGATTCATAAGAATACCTGCATTCACAAATCACATTTATTTTGGTCAAATAAGTTGACACCATGAAACAAAAGGTCTAAGAATCAAGCCAGCAGGTCAGTGATAAAAGCTATCATTGAGAAGACTTTTTACTCTAGCATATATAGTCACCAAGTAATTACCCCATATGCCCTCTTTAACTTAGCATTAAATATTATTAAGTAGAAAAGAAATTATACCTCCAAGAAGCTGTGACCTCTGTTGCCAGCATCCTTTCTCGCGTTTCAGGAAGAGCTGTGTATTTGTCCCTGATGAACCCTTCAAATCCTGACTGCTCACAATCACATACACCAAAAATCAGTTCAAATAACACTGAACCAAGTATTCGATCTTAAGAGTCCTCAACTACCAAAATCGGGAAAAAGGAAAATTTGCAAGATGCAGCAATAAGAGCAGAACTTCAAATTTCTCCCATACTAAGTAGACAACATTATACCATCAGCGCCTCACAA